GCTGCTGCAGCTAAGAATGAGTTGTTGTGCCACAGGTGTGATTATGAACTGGGTACGAATTTATTATATTTATTATTGCTCTGCTGCTGAGCTCCAAGTGCTTGCATCAGCAGGTACTGTTTTTTGACCCAGGGCTTGATAAGCAGCTGTGTTAAGTCAATAATTGTACTTGGGAGAAGTCTGTTCCTAGAGCAGAAGACCAGACTGCTAAGAAATATGTGTAGCTTTCAAGGCAATGTGAGGTATCTGCACACATCAGAATCCAAGTAAGGCTTTCCAGAGCCTCCCCCTCTCCTGCTTTGTCATGTACTTCTATCTATGCTAAATTTTTCCAGCTGCCTTAAAGACTTGTTCCATAGTGTAGGAGCTGTAAGGAAATGCTGACTGTGTAATGGCAACCATTGCACTTGGCAGCGATACGAGGCACCTGTAACATCATCTAACCCAATGATGTGTGTTAATTTCTTCAGGGTTTTTTTTTCCTTGTTATTTATTTCTTGTTCTTAAAACAGGCAAAAGCAGAGCCTGAACCTTCAGTGCAATCTGCACATCTGGTGGTCCTATGGCACCATCTGGAGATGTGAGATGCTGAAGTCTCCTCCATCTCCTACAGCCTGCTGACAAGTATGATGTGTTTGCAGGAAATTCTTAACGTTTATGTAGCTGATGCTATTGCCATTGAAGCTGACCTGTGTCTGGTCAGCATGTTATGGCAGCTGTGTTGTACCTAGGAAGGTTTTAGGCCTGTTTTGCTCATTCAGAATGCTGGTGAGGCCGTGATGTTTTCAGGCTGACTGCTAGCTAAATACACAGTGGTTGTCCTCATCCATTTGATTCTCTGTATGCATACAATCAGGTATTATCATGTGTTTTCCCATTTTGCTTTTAAAGTTGTTTTTTTTTTTCCTGTTTCTTGTGGTTTGCTATGATTCACACATTGCATTTGTGTCACTGATTTGTCTCTTTAGAATGCTAGGGAGTCTTTTTCCTTTAAAGATCGATATTCCTTGCTAATGCATAAAGGACAAAAAAAAGTGGATGTTGAATGTATGAATGTATGAACAAATGAAAGATTCCTCAAGTTTGTAATCCACTTAATTTTTAATAAATTGAATATATCATTTTTAAAAACATGTATAGCTTTGATACAGATAGGTTTAGAATACATAAAGGATTATGATAGCATAACATTAATCTCTGGCACTAAAAAGACTTCTGTTTCATGAGCATATTAATCCTTATGGATGGAAACAGACACGGTATCCTCCTGTAACCCATTAAAAATGTTTCTTGAAAGTTACTGCTATGAGTTCTGTGCAACAGCAGGGATGGAGGGACAGCACAATGTCAGCTGAATTCATGGGGAAAAGAAGTGTTACTGAAACAGGCTGCTAGAGGGAAAGAGAACGGAATAAAGGAGGATTGAGGAGATGGCCTGGGTCACACTGGCACACAGATTCCTCGCAGTGAAAGCGGTTGTGCTCACTTACAGAGCGGTACTTCAGAGGCTTTTATTGTTACAGCAAAACGCTGTTGACATGGTGGAGTTTCTTTTAAATGGATTCTGTGAGAAAAGGCGCTTGGATTGTAGTGTTGTTACTGTTGTGTGGTGAAAAGTGGGGGAAAAAGGGGATTGTTCAGAGAAATATAAGAAATAGGATCGTGTAAGGAAAGGAGCTTCTCTCCGTTCCTCTCTGAGGAAAGTACAGCTCACAGTGAAGGGTTCCCATGTGTGTTTCTTGTTGGTTGGTTCAGATCAAAGTGTTGGCTCGTCCTTCAGCAGACACAGGCAGTTCTTATGGGTTTTTTCACCACGAAGCAGTGAATTATTAAAGCTGGCTCAGTCGCTTCCAAGCGCTTCAGGTTGTTCTGTCATTCTCCTGAGTTCCACTCATCACTCCTGAGCCCACAGATAACCTTCTGTGTACACCAGGACTTTCTCTCAATGTCCATTTTATCAGTGCTGGAAAAAGCACTGAACCTTTGTAGATGTAGAGTAGGTTACATAGGAAGGGATTGTTAAAGCAAATAGACGAATAACATTTGCCTTGATTTTTAATCTTGTTGAAGACAACAAATTTCCAGTGTTTCGCTCTCCTTTTCTGCTCACGAGGACACGATGTCACCCAAAGCCTTCTAAACTACAAAGAAATATCATATGCAGCTTAGCATGGTTTTAATAGAATGGGAACTGAGGTCTGTGGCACTGGGCTGCTGGCTGCGTTGCCAGCTCACAATGTCCATCTGCAGACTTGACCATTCACCCTTTGGGAAACTGAAACTGCCAATGCCTCCTGCCCAGATATGTTGTCAGGCTTCATGATGCTTTAGAAGCAGTGATTGAAGAAGCCACGCAGTGCTGTCAAAGTGAAATGGAAAAAAAAAAAACCAACGCAGAAACAGATGTAAAATGAAGCTCCAAGTGGAAGCATCCACTCCTCTGCTGAAGAAATAGAATTCTTTACAATTTAGATAAGTGAGGTTTGTTTGCAGCTGAAAATTTTGAGCACGCTGCTTTTGCATGATAATATTTTAGATTTATTTCCACAACTTATTGCACATTCTTTTTTTTTTTTTTTTTTTTTGGAGTTTTCATTGCAGAAAATTGCCAGGAGGAATGGATTTTTGTCTTCCCTCAGCTGGCAGAACAATTTTCCACCTGTCGCCCAAATATTTGATGGGGAGGATTATGGTACAGCTGCTGGAAGTTTATACTTTATATCCATGGGAAGCCTCTGAGTCTCACACACTGCCACCAGAGGTTGGCACTCTGAGACATGCCCTGCATTTGTGACTTCCAATGGGAATTATATGGGAAACCCCACAGTGGCTGCTTGGCACGTTTGCAAGCAATGCCTGACTTCCCACCTGCAATCCCCTTGAGACGCATTCCTTCACTAGGGAGCAGTTTTTGTAACTAAACTGGAGCTGTTAGTTGGAAAAGCAACTTCAATGCGATTTGCCTTCATTCTTTTAACCATCTGACCCTGCCACGTATGCAGAAATGTGGGTTGTTTGTTTTTTTGACAGCCATGCAGACATTGATAGAAATATGAAATTTTGTTGCCTGTGTGAAATCCTTTAATGCCTTTGTTATTTCCTTTGCCACATGGATTTACTGAAGTCTATAGGGACGTGGTATTTAGCAAAGATTGACGATGCAGGAAACAGAAGAGTGGTCAGTAATCAAAGATGCATGCTGATGAATCTCTTTGCATAATTTTTCTTGAAACTCTATACATTGAAAGTGAATCCAATTATTACTTATTCAGCACCGCTGGTAAATGATACAGAACTACTTAATTAGTATGAGTGCCACACAGGGATTGCATTTGGTAGTTCTGTCCTCTGTCATTCACTGTTGTGGTGGAACAACCGCCTTCCTGTGAGTACATATGGCTGAACCTTGAAGGCTGACAGCTGCAATAACTTGAAATCAAAACCCTTATAAAGTTCCAGCAGGCTTTAGATGGATGTTAAAACAAGTGAGGCACCATTGAAAGAAAACAGAAAAGAAAGATGTGTGAAATTAAAAAGCACAGGTAGTAAAAGAGTGATGTCTGTTGTTTGCAGGTGCTCGTCAGTAACCCAGTAACACCATGGCTGTGTGTTGCTGTTAAGTCCCAGCCCTTCATTTCAGCACTGTTTGGGTTTCATCCTTTGTAACTCACTCTGAACAACAAATTGAAGGGCTCCCAGAATAACATTGAGTCCTCTGACTAAAAGGATCCCTGTAAAGTTGTCCACTGTTCTTCCCAAAGTCTTCCACTATTCCTGCTATCCCTGGAGGTGCCTGAGGCCACAGATGGAGCCCTTTGCAGCCCACTGGGGGATGGATGGGAGCAGTGGGCTTTGAGGTCCCTTCCCAACCCAGCCTTAACCCACACAAACTCATTGCTGCCTCGTGGAGCACTGAAAGAATTGATGGAGGAGTGGGATTCCTGTGCCTCTCCGAATTCACAGGAAATAGAAAAAGTGTCATTCTATAAAGCATGGATTTAATAAGGCCTGCAGGGACGCAGTATTACTGAAGACTGACAAGATGAAAATTGGCATAACTGTTCAGTAGTAAAACGCTAAGAATTATGATAATATTTTATAAAGTACACTAAAAATGTAGTTTAAAACATTGTGAAAAATGGAAGTCTCTCAGTCTCACTCGGAAATATAATCATTTCCCATCACGTACAGGGTGTATAGTTTCAAATACAGATATGGAGTGTTAAGCAGGGTTACTTCTATTAAAAATAGATGTCATATGCTCATTATTGTTTGAGTGCTTCTGCGTTCACATCTAAGCAGAGAAATTGAGAAAACAGGAGGTGTGCTGATTGGGTGCCTTTGGATCCTCCTGCCCACAGTGCAGCCTTACCCCCACAGGCTGTAGCCCTACAGAAACAATTTTTTTCCAATTTTTCCAATTTTTTTCAACTTTTGCAGCACCTTAAGGGGCTGCAGGAAGGGGGATCAATGTAGGAGCACATTGAACATTTCCTCTGTGTGGGTCTGGAAACCACAGTTTGCTTATTTCACTGTTGAAGTGCTGCAGTAGTGCTGCTCACATCAGTACATTTCTCCATGTACTCTGAGCCTCTTTCAATGTGCAGCAACTGTTTGAAGGAAAGTCAGCATTGGAAAAAAGGGGTGCTTTGGTTATAGCTCTGAATGCTGCTCAAGAGAATAAGGTTTAGTTCTACTTCTCCCACGGGCATCTTGTATGATCTGTGGTGACCCATTTAGTCTTTCTGTGCCCATCTATAAAACTTGGCAGTACGGATGATGCCTTTTTCTGACGTTCTGATTTCCCTGGAAGTTCTTACATTATTGTTTTGTCTTGGTGTGCGCCAAAGCAGTCCTGATAACTATTGCATTCTTCAAGTTTTTCTTTAATAAAATTAGTTTTTAATAAAATATGGACGTTTAACTGGTTTACAGCCAGTTAAATAATACAAAAATAAAGCAACGTGAAAAATGTGTGTTTTCCTTTCTGCCCCTTTCAGGAAATGATAACAGCGAAGCCCTTCCAGAGTCCATCCCATCTGCTCCTGGAACGCTGCCTCACTTCATGGAGGAACCAGATGATGCCTACATTATCAAAAGCAACCCCATTGTCTTACGCTGCAAAGCCATGCCAGCCATGCAGATTTTCTTCAAGTGCAATGGTGAATGGGTCCACCAAAACGAGCACGTGTCGGAGGAAAGCATGGATGAGACCACAGGTAAGGGCAGTGTCCTTGGGGAGGTGTAAGCACAAACTGCACTGGGGTTGTGACACAGTTGAATGGCAAAGAGCTGCGGGGTGCACTGAGCTGAAGGAATGGTTATTTGCTAAGTAACCAAGTTCAGCAGGAGAAATCCATTGTGTAAAAGCATCTCTCTCAAAGGAAGAGAAATAAGAAGGGAGAAAGTTGAAAGCCATCAACAGATTTTATCATGCTTCCAGCACACCCTTTATCTTTTCTCATTTAAAAGCATCTTGATAACTATTGCAAACCAATTTAACGCTGCGCTGTCTTGTAATTTCACAATTCGGTTTTGTTATTGCTTTCCTCCTCTTTTTAACTTCCACGATTGCTAGGCAACTCCACGGGTTGGAAATAGCAGCGTAGGCACAACATCCTCTCCATCAATACCAGAAATTCCTCTTTGGGGGGGGAAAACCACATTTAAAGAAGAAGATACATCTCCTGAAGTGACAGTGGTGTTTGGCATTCACTTTAAGTGACACATTCTGAAGAAATTTCATCCTAGCAGCTTTCTGTAAATGCTAATCTGAGTGAGCTCTAATTTCTACAGTTACCTTTTCAAAAAGAATTTAATAGGCGTAACCTTTACTTCTAAAGGCACTGCTGAATCAATACAGAAGAAATGTCGTTCCTAAATGTTTTTCTTCCATATGGTTAATGAAAAGCTGTCTTGTGAATACTGCAATTATGTTTTATAAGCCTTGGATTAATAATAGAATAAAAAAAAAGATGAAGCAACATTAGGTGGTAGGTTTTCTGTTTTGCTTTTAAATAACATACGGTAACATTGAGTTTTGAGACATGGAGGCACAGACTTAGCGAATGGGATCTGGAATATAAATGATGCAGATTTGAATTTAGCCCAAGGGCAGAGCTAGCAGTAAAAGTATTGTTTGCTGTCTGCACATGGGCGTGATCCCAATAGTTAATGTGTTCTAAAAGCAGCCGTGATGATGCTCAGCATGCAGAAAGGCACAAGGAACGGCTACGTTGGGTGAGCTGTGAAGGACAGGCCTGGATGTTCTTCTCTCCTGGATGTATCCGTACCCACAAACTACTTCAGAACCTTTCCCCAGCCTTCAGGAAACATCAGACGTGAGGTTTTTTGAGGGGAGTAAATGAGTGCTCTGACACACTCTGGAGCCAAATCCAGAGAATAAACATTTCTGCTACCAAACACTCCGTGTTCTGCACACTGCGTGGGCTCCATCTGTGAGAAACTGCACTCAAATTTATGGCACAAGTGGTGCCTCTGGTTAATGAGTGTCAATGCGTTCACCAAAAGGAAGTCATGCTGCACGAAAATGAGGCTGCCTTGTTCCATCCTTCCACTCTTTGGTATGTGGTGGAAATTTGGAGAAGAACAGTAGAATAGTGGTGAAGAATAGAAACAAATAAGCGAGCAAGGCGCGCATCTTAGCATCTCTGCAAATTCCTGCCTGTGTGTTCTTAGCCAGGCTGTGCAAGGAGTGCACATAACGAGAGCCAGTATGTGAACCTGAGAGGAAGGGCATCAATTCTGTAGCTCTGTGTGGTTTGTAGTTAAACACTGGGCTGACACAAGCTGGCTGCCTGAGGGTGTATCGAGGGTTCTGGGAGGCTGATGGTTTGCATTGCAGCTTGTGCTGTGGTGACTTTGCTGCTGCTGATGCATGAAGTCAGGGCAGGTAAGGCAGCACGTGTCGTGACTGATGGATGCACTGCTGTGGTCTACTGCTCAGTTACAAACCCAATTATTTCATCTTCTGCCTTAGTTCCTGAGCTACAAAAAAAGGGGAGAGCGATCCACAGTCTGCCTTTTGTTGTTGGTTCCATAAGCACTGCAGCAGGGGAACTTTGTTCACTCTGTGTGCTCAGAAAATAAGAGCTTGAGCTAATAGATCCTACTGTGATAAGAATATAATATATAATATAACGTGATGTATATGATATAATGTGATAATATATTACTATATAGTTATAGCTTGATGCATTTCTTTCTGCTTTTCTTCTCTTTTTTCCTGGATGTTGAGGACTGCACCTCCAAATTAGTTTACAAATATCTCAGCTTTTGGTTTTACTGCAGGATCAGACCGCTAAAAGTAACTTGAGTTTCCACGTCTGATAAATAAAAGGATTACAGCAATAACTGCTGTCAGCGTTTTTCTCATTTAAACAAATAAAGCTGACAAATGCTGAAGTTCTGTGCAGCTCTGTTATGTTTAGTACATGGAGAGCAATTATTCATCTGCTGCCAACATTAGTCTATCTGCAGCTAAACCATCCAACGGTGCAGAAAGCTTATTAGCATCTCAGTACCACAGTCATAATTTTATATTCTGTAAGGCTGTGCTGTGTAACAAAAGATGATGGTTATAATTTGCACAATAATTTAAAGGGTTGACTTGCAGTGCTTATTAGAATTACACAAGTTACAGGTAAAATGTTGTTCTTGTTTATGATGTGCCTGTTTGTATTTGCCTGGATATTTTTTTTTTTGCTCTGTGTCATTTCCTATGAATGTTTTCTCTGGCATTTTTGAGACGCAGATGGTGAGTGAATATATCTGCTGGTGAAATACAGTGATGATAAATGAAGAATATATGCCTCTGCTCCCCGTGGGTTTGCTTTCTGTAGTTGGTTCTAAAATAAGTGAAAATAGGTGTACTTTCTCCATAGACAACACATAAACAACTTTCCCCAAAGAGTGGATGTTCTCTGGAGGTCCCCTCCAACCTGGATTCTGTTCTTTTGGATGCATCTGTTTTGTGGATTGACAAAGCAATGGAGTCCAAGGGACAGAATTCCTGTCCTTCTCCCCTTCTCAGTGCATCTCTCAAAATTATGCACTGTTTGGCTGCCTGATTCAAAGCTCATTAAGTGTTGCTTCAGGCTGACGTATATCAATTAATATTAATAAACATGTTGGTGAAAGGAAGAGCTGAGGTGGAGAGCATTCTACCTTAACAAACCCAAATTTGTAGATACCTTTATTCAGTGGTGACTGCTCAGTGTTGTACAGCATCAATGAGCCTAGAAATGGCTTCTGCTCTTCCACATGTGATGATTTTTTCAGTTGGTATCAGTAAAGGCTCCGTTGTTTGCACCAGCAGCTGTGTAATGTGCAGTTCTCAACTCCTCATTTCTATTCGCTGCTTCCAAAAATTCCTTGAGTAGCTTGGAAATGTGGGAGATTTCAGGACAGATGGACTGTATCGTAACCAGGTGGGGAATGGTCAGCGAGGTAGGAGCTGATGGCTGGTGAGGGGATGAGTGGGTTTTCCCCAGGAAGATGCTATTTGAGGCCATGCTGGGAATAAGCTGACTGTGGGAGGCCAGCTATAGGTACTTAGGTACAGCAGGATGCCATGTGAACTTCTCACTTTGGGAGCAGTTCAGGCAGTGCACAGAGCAGCATTGCACTGCCTACAAACACAGACTCACAGGCTGATAGGACATGGCTGCACAGCAGTGTGCATCAGCTAATTGAGTGCTGGGTGAGTGATCCCTGACAGGAGACAGCCATCTCAGAAAGGTCACTGTTTGTCAAGGACTGATTGTTTTTCATCCTTGTCAAAGTAGTCTTTAAGTAGATGGGTTGCAACCTCGTTGGACATGGCTGCAAATTAGCTTGGATTTGGAGGCTTGCGCTTTTGAGGCTCTGGAGCTTTGAGATCATCCAGGGATTGCACAGAGCTTGATTTGTCATGTACACAGTAACAGTAAAATATGTATTTGTCAGTGTTATCCAGCATGACAGAATGAGAAATGTTCAACCACTGGGACCTGCTGTGTCAGGTTGCCAGGACTCCAGGGGTCTCTAATGGAACTTACTGTGGCTGCTCTTATCACTTGCCCATAAACATCACTCTATAGGAAGGTAGTATGGCTGAGAACTTGGGAATTTGTTGCTCTCAGAGCAGCCTGGGTGTTTACTTTGAGGTGGTGCAGTTTCATTGTACGTCTTATAGCCCATGTCAGCAAGGAGGAGGATTTCCAACAGAACTGCTGGGTTCTGCCAGTGATGTTTTCATCATTACAGGAAACAAAGGGAAGCTTTTGTAAACAATTTTGTTGACAAATGCATCAACATAGTAAAAACAAAGCACGAATAGAAACAACCAGTTTGTTTATTACAGCATGGATAAATATTTGAGCTGCTAAAATGATTTTCGAGACAACCGAGGAAACTCTTGTAGGTTTGGCCATATCTTAAGATGTCTTTGGGAAATACGACAAGCCAAACAGGAGAAATGAAAAGAAATAATTTGCCTGCTGCTGGAAACATAACAAAAATGTTGTGTTGCTTTATAGCTCCTCTGCCCTCCCCCACTGCTCTCCAGTGAGCATCCCCAGTGGCCTCAGCTCTTGTTTGCCAGAGGACCAGGCTGACTTCCTGGTGCCTTACAGAAGTGAAGTACCCAGCCGTTTGTTAATGATGCCTGAGATTAAGTGGAAGCCAATTTTTATGGAGTTCAGGTTTAGAAATTTCGTGGTGCTTTATAAATTCACAGGCATGAAATATTTTAAGATTGAGTTTTCATTCATTTCCAGTGAAGGGGAAATAAGTACCTTGGGACTGCATCAGAGGAGAGGAGGAAGAAAGTAGTAGGCATGATCTTTTTTTTTTTTTTTTTTCCAATTTTCAAATTAATGTTTTTCTGATTAGCTCTCCTAAGTGATTCTTAGTGCCACTTAACAGTGATTTGGATTATATTTTCTCTCCCCAACGTTGTTATACAAAGGGAGTTACGGATTTAGCATATAGATATAGAAAACATTGCGAGTGTATAAAATAAGGTGTCAGGTTTAGAAGGCCTCCACTTGTTATCTTGTCTGAAACAAAAGCTTCTGCTCTGAAGGGCAGTGATGCTGAATGTTGGCTGTGTATGGGGAGTTATGGAAATGGCAGCAGGAGGAAAAAAAAAGCATGAGGCTCTTCCCATCATTACTCCTGGTTTGCCTCCATTATTCCATGAGATTCTTTTCTGAGTTATTTAGATGAACCTGTTTGATTCCTATCACTTATGCATAGTTCTGGTTGTTTGACTTGACTTGGGGGTAATGGATGTGGGTCCACCAGGGTGCTTCAGAAAGAGCTTCAAGTGCACTGAGAGTGGTAAATGGGAATACAACTTCATCTTATGTTATACAATGCCAAACAATCCCTCCAAGTGACAAAAGGCACGTGAGAAAAGGCTTCTGAAGCATTACACTCTTGCAAAGGCCAAAGTGGCTGGGTAATTTGTTTCATTTGATGCATTATGACCTAGTCAGCTTTTAGCATTTAATTAATGGTAATATATTATTGTCAAAGTAATTAAAGCTTTGCCTTGATTAAAAAAATGGAATTGTTTAATTAAAAGAGAAGCGTCTGCTAACCTTTGCTTCGTGCCCAAGGAAGGTAGCTCATATCACTTAATTTTCTGTATCTTTCCCCTTCAGGCCTGAAAGTTCGAGAGGTGTTCATCAATGTGACGAGGCAGCAGGTGGAAGACTTTCATGGGCCAGAAGATTACTGGTGTCAGTGTGTGGCATGGAGCCATCTGGGGACCTCAAAGAGCAGGAAGGCATCCGTTCGCATTGCTTGTGAGTAGAATAAACCTTCTGATGTTCTTTGGATGTATTGGAGTTATAATGAGTTTGGTTTTTTTCCTGTATTGAACTCTGCAGATTTAAGGAAAAACTTTGAGCAAGACCCCCAGGGGAAGGAGGTTCCTATTGAAGGGATGATCGTTCTGCACTGCCGGCCCCCCGAGGGCGTCCCTGCAGCTGAGGTGAGCTTTTTCTGCATGACACAAGAAAGGCTCAGCACTGCTGGTTTCCAGGCCCAGCGTTGGTGGCAGTTCTCCCCATTGCAAAAAGCTGGGCTCTCCATGTGGGATCAACATGTGTTGATCTACGTTGGCAATTTTGGGGATTTGAGTTGCTTTGCTTTTGTTGCTACTTCTAAAAATACGATCTTTAGAGGTGAGCAGGAAGTTTTCAGGTGATAATTTGTGTAAATCCCATGTGTACTCCTTGAGATCCAAAGAAACAAACAATGAGTAAACGGGTACCTGATACCTATTGAGTAAATAGGTGAACTTCTACCTAACAAGCCTGGTTTGCTGAGCTGATTACCTGCATTTGTCTGGTTTTCAATTTATGCATGGTTAAATGTCCACAGAATGCTGTCTTTGTTGGAATTGGACCATTTGAGGAAAAAATGGTGAATGCTGTTCAAGTTTTACTGAGGATTTTAGAACTATCTGCTTTACGGTCTACAATCGAGCAGAATATCTGTCCTTTTGGAAAGTTAGGAATGATACTGAATGGAAAAACTGGCATTTCTGTTGTTTTCTACAGATAAAATTGCAGAGTTCTCAGAAAGCCCTGATTTACAGATGCTGAGGGTAAGATTGTTATTGCTGCTAATAAAGCCTGTATATCATAACAGGTCATGTTTGCTCTGGACAGTAAAATCTCACATAAAGGCTTCACATAAAGGATTCAAGGCTAATTCTGTGCTCATCAAGGTAAACTGTCTTCTGAAAATAATTAAGTGTTCAAATGAGTAATGGCTCTGGTCTGTGGCAGTAAGCTCTATGTTGTAAACTCATTTAGTATTTTTGAGTTATGGGAGACCTACCCTGGATAAGAAGTAACAGAAAGAGCCCGTAAGTTTTGCTCAATAATTGTTGGGTGTGTACAGTACCAAGAAATGTAGAATGCTATAAAACCTGAGGCTGAATGGTTTGGGAACAAGAATTTCTCTCTTTAGAGTTTGAATGAAGTCCTAGATGATAAGACTTGAAGTAACTATGGATGAAGCTCACGTTGGTTTCAGTTGATGCAAAATAGATGCTAATAGTGGTGTGGAGAAAATGGACAGGAGACTCTCACCCCATTTGTGTTACTGTGCCAATGTCTGCCTGAGCCCCTTGGAGAAGATTCTGATTATTCTGTCCATCAACTGCAGAAATGCAGCACCATTATTTTCCCGAAGAGCACACAGTTCTGTGCCTGCCATAGGAACAGATTAATCGAGTGGTTTATTTCTGACCATGGTGATGAAGGACTGGTGCAGCCAAACCTTGAATCGCACCATCGGTGAGGGACAGACACTTCACACTGGAATGAAATTTAAGTTCAACTCCATTATTTCAGTGAGCCTGCCCCATTATCAACAATATAAATCTTCACTTCTGGAATTATTTTTCTGCAGCTTAAAGGTGCTGAGGAATTGTTAAACCTAAGGATAAAAGTGTCCTACTCTGTGGCTTAATCTCCCCTCCCAAATCATAGAATCATAGAATCACCAAGGTTGGAAAAGACCTCAAAGATCATCCAGTCCAACCGTTCACCTATTCCCAATAGCTCCCACTAAACCATGTCCCTCAACACAACATCCAGCCTTTCCTTGAACACTCCCAGGGTCGGTGACTCCACCACCTCCCTTGGCAGTCCATTCCAGAATGGAATGAAATCCTCACTCATCAGCTCTGTGAGACTGCTGGGATGTCCTCACAGTCAGCATCTCTGCCAATGGTGCTTCAGTATTAGATCTTTTTCTTTATTTTGGGGGTGATATAACTGTGGTGAAGACCACACCTCACGGAGATATTCTCCAGAGAGAATTCCTCTAGATCAAGTTTGGTTTTATTGAAATTTCTACTTTTATATTGTTCCAAAATTAATATGACTTCGATATCTCATCATTGGCAGCAGTGAAAATATCTGGATTAAGGTTTCTTATTAGTATTACTTTCTGCATGCAATATATAAAAGAGGAGGAAGTAAAGTACGGATTAAAGATTTGGATCCATAGTTGTAATGTATCCAGACTATATATGACATAAGACCTTCCTTGTACGAATTAATTTACAAATAATGGGAGCCAGTGTAACATTGTCAGTGCTTTGTGTGCTCACACAGTTCACTTGTAGTAAATGGTCTTCAAGATGGATAATGCATTAGTGAAAACAAACAACCAAGGAGGATTACAAATAAGGAATTTGCCGTATTCTAATTCAGCTTTAATGTCACACAGGCACGAATCAAGAGCTCCAAATCCTGCTGAGGCAAGCTCTGGATTTAATGCTGCTTTGAAATGCACTGTGCTGTCTTGACTCATTTAGCAGCAAATTGCAGTTGCTTGTGTCAGCTGGGTCTGAAGAAGTAAAAGACATATAGAAAAGGATCTCTCTAAATCTGCATTCTCTTTCCGAGAATGTGATGACTGTCTTCATCTCTGAGCTGAAGTTCATCTCTCATGCATGAAATGCTATTGAAAGTGCCCAACTATGACCAGTAATGAACGTTCTGTGTCCTGTGGAGCACCCTGATCAATGCACCTTGCTCCTAGGATGCTCAGCCTTTCTGTTTGTTTGCAGGCCCAGGAATTAGCTGCTGTCAGCCCCATAGACCAGCCTGTATTTCTGCCTCTGTTGCCTTTTCTATGTTGCCCACCTCTAGAGTTTGCTCCTGTAAGTAGAGGAATGTAAGGAAGTTCTGCTTTGGGAGGTTGCTGAGTGCATGCAGTGTTCTATGCACACTGCCACAGCGGTATGAGTAAGAAAACCCAAATCCTGACACTGAGCATAATGCAGAAAGGTTTAAAATCATCTCCTCACATGCATTGCATGGTAAGCAAAACAGAGCTGGTGAGCAGCTGTGCTTGCAGGCATCAGCACCCAACCCAAATAAATTCCTTTTTTTTTTTTTTTTTTTTTTTTTTTTAAATGAGTTAAACAACAGAACAAAAAAGAAAATCCAGCCTTTCAAGTAAAGCATCTGATAGTCCCCTGCTGTGGCAAAATGTTGGTTTGAATGTAACAATCTCTGCTGGCTCAGATTGGATGAGACCAGAGCCATTTCTATCACAATTGGTGTTGGCACAGGGAAGAGACGGTTCTGGCTCACAATCCCCACAAGAGATTCTCCCCATAGATAGGTTTATTAATTGTGTGCAGTAGAGGCTTCATTTAGCTCAGGGTGTGTGCAGTGCTGCAGTTGTGCTGTAGCACAGGAGTTGGATAGGATGATAAATCCATGTCTGCTGGTGGTTTCTGGGAGCTGCCAGGTGGGTGCTCAGCCTCAGGTCTCTGCTGCCATATTTGGTGAGAAAGAACCCATAATCCTTTGTGTTTATTAGGAGGTAAAGGAGTTAAACCCAGTTGGGTCCTTAAGCCCCATTACTCTCTTTACAAATCTTGGCTTTAGATCAGTGCAAAGCGAAGGAGGGGTAAATTTCTGCAATGATGCTAAGCCCTCATCCTCAAGAAGTATGTGTTTACTGCTCCTTTCTATGTATTACAGTCTACTATTAACATGATCTGTTCATACCTACTGTCACTGACTGTATAAAGCAACTTGGGTAAGATTTCATATCCATAATGTTGGCAGGCCGGTAACCATAACTGTCATGCCTTGAATGTTTTCCTCTTCTCTTGCCAAAGGATATTCCATGAATTTTAAGAACATACTTGAGCACTGGACTCGGTGCCTCTCAGTGGCACATTCGTTTACTTCAGAAGTGAAATAATGAAGAATTGAAGAACTTGATTCTGTCCTTTTGTGCAAGTCTGTAGTTGGGCTGCATCTGGAATCAATAATATTAATAGATCCTGGTGCTTTCCACAGGATCCTGGAGTCAGCAAACAGAATAAATTACAGCATCCTCTCTGGTTCATTGATGGCATTTCTTTCCTGTCTGCTTCTTGATGGTTGTGACATTGCACTCTGTGATGGTTGTTGAACTGGAGCCTGGAAGAGACTTGGTCAATATGCATTAAGTGAAGTTTAGGATAATCTTTATTCTGTGCAGTACATTATCAGTGCATAAGAGTGGGATTTGGGGCATGGGAACAAATTAAAATATAATTTTGTAGCTGATTGTTGCTAGTAATCTTTTTAGGCATCTGGTTTTAAGTTCTCTTCACTGTTCTGGTTAGGAGCTGTGATGTTGGTTGTGGGCACATCAGTAATGAGTAATTCCAACTCACTGATTCTAGAGATCAGCATTTCTAAACAGCAGGCTTTCACTTTTACTATAAGTAAATACCTTCTGAGATTAAATCTCTGAATAGTTTGTGTTTGGGTATCAATGACTTGCAGACCCTTCGGCATCTGCTGTTGCGCTGAACTGTTGTTGATGAGTGTGAACTCGAGAGCCCTGCAGAGGTCTGCAGAATACTCTAACATATCTTTATCATTTATATCCAAATATATATTTAAGGTTTAAATGGAGCTGTATCCAGATACTTTTTCAAATTTTTAACACAGATTTTGACACTTTAATGGACTGCTGTAGAAGTTCCAGTGAATATCTGCATGAGTTCTGGTGGCTTATTTACTGCTGTAGCTTTTAATGGAAATATAAAATAATTTCTCTTCTGGGCAGTATACATCCTGCTTCAAACACATCAACAAAATGCAAAACCCACATAAAATTCACAAGCTGCAGAGTTCAGAAAGCAGTGAGAGTCATTGCTGCCTGTTTTACATAGGCTCATGTATTTATGGGACTTGCACACATACTGTAAAACGTAATATGGCAGGATAATGGGATTGTAGTAAAACACTATGGCAAAAAAGGCTGCTGAGTTATTGTCTTCAATGAATCTTGTTTCTAGTTACACAGAACTGAGTATGATTACTAAATGCAAACAGCATGCATTGTATAGAGTTTGTTATAGATCTTTGTCCCCGTGTCTGAGAGATCAGTCTTTGCTCTGCTTTTAAGGTATGTTGGTTACAAATACAATACGTGCATTTCATTGTATGCCAGAAATGT